ACAGGGTCTTGCTACATTGCCCAGGCTGGTCTTGAACTCCTGGCCTTAAGTGATCCTCCCCACTCAGCCTCCCAAACTGCTGGCATTACAGGAGTGAGCCACCATGTCTGGCCATCTTATACTCATTTATGATTTTGTTTTTTTTTTATTTGATTCATTCATTTAACAAATATTTATTGAGCACTTATTGTAGGCCAGGCTCTCTTTAAACTCTGGTGGCAGCATTTTCTATCTGGGAGAGAAAGATAATAAACAAATTAATAAATAAATAAGACATTTCCCCTAGAGATGTGAAACATGGTTACACTGGAGAGAGTGAGGCAGGCCACCTTAGATTGGGTGGTCAGGAAAGGCTCTCCTGAGGAGATAACTGATTTCAGAGAAACTGATGACTAGGGGGGGAAGTCCAGGGAGAGGATGCAGGTGAGAATGGCGTGGTATGTGTGAACTGCAGCAACGAGGCTGATGTGGCTAATGCCCCAGCAGAGAAGAGACAAGTTGGAGAGGGAGGTGGGTATAGATAGATCGTGGAGGGCTCTGAAGGCTACAACAAGGAGTGTGGATTTTATTGTCCACTGGGGATTTGTAGTCTATTTAGAATCTGTTTTTACATATAACATGAGATGTGTGCGTCTGTGCATACTTGTGTGTGGACAGTGTAGCTTCTCTTTTCTTTCAAATTGAGAGTCAAAATTTAATTAAAGAATTTGTTCTTTGCAGGCAGTGAGGGGACTAGGGTGCTGTCTCACAGAATTTTACCTTATTTCAAATGTTGCACAGATATTACCACTCCATAAAACATATTTTCAATTGAAATTAAACAAATAATGAGTATTTTATCCTAGTTAGTCTGTTAGGGGCATTATAACAAAGTACAGGTGAAGCCTCCCTAATTTGAAAACCCAAAATCTGAAATGCTCCAAAATCTGAAACTTTTTGAGCACTGACATGATGCCACAAGTGGAAATTCCACATGTAAGTATTTAATACAAGCTTTGTTTCATACACAAAATTATTAAAAATATTGTATAAAATTACCTGCAGGCTATGTGTATAAGGCGTACATGAAACACAAATGAATTTTGTGTTAGACTTGGGTCCCATCCCCACGACATCTCATTACGTATACACAAGTATCCCAAATGCTGAAAAAATCCAAAATCCGAAATACTTCTTTTCCCAGCATTTTGGGTATCGGATACTCAACCTGTACTACAGGCTTCGAGCAATAGAAATTTATTTCTCATAGTTCTGGAGGCTGGGAAGTCCAAGACCAAGCTGTGGGCAGATTCTACATCTGTGAGGGCTTGAATCCTGGTTCATAGATGGCTGTGTTCTCATAGTGTCTTCACAGGGTGGAAAGGGTAAGGGAGTTCTCTGGGGCACTAATCCCATTCATGAGGGATCTGCCACCACAGGCTCCACATCCTAATACCATCACCTCGAGGGTATTTCAACACATGAATTTGGGGGGGACACAGATTCAGTCCATAGCACTCAGGGATGTGGTCATTGAATAAAATCTTTGTAGAATTTCATTCTAAAACCATGGTTGAGGCAGTCTATAGGTCACATACAAAAAGCAGTCCTATTTTTAGTCACAAGAAGGTTTTGGTCAAAAAACATAATTCTAGTTGATCAGCCATTTTATTCATTGAGTTTGGCCCTAAAGAAATCACTTTTGGCCAATTCTGAGTGTCAATTCTACATACAAAGGGCCAAGGTTTGCCACCAAAGAAGACATTTAAAGGCGTGCACTATAGGTTTCAAAGACAAGTCTGAAGGAGAGCTTCTAAAAATATATTTATACAATAGCGTCATTAAAAGATCGAGCACACAGGCCCCCAGATAACATCTGGGTCTGTGAAGAAGAGGACAAATTTTTGGATGCTTAAGTCTGTATGTGTAGATAATAAGTCATTTCCTTATAATTAAACCTCTTGACCTTTAAGCCTCTTTATAATGAATTCCTCTTGAGTTTGTCCATAATAAGATCACTCTCTGATTGATAATATGCTTTCTTGGCCAGATGTGGTGGCTCACGCCTATAATCCTAGCACTCTGGGAGGCTGAGGTGGGCGGATCATTTGAGCTCAGGAGTTAGAGACCAGCTTGAGCAAGAGTGAGACCCCATCTCTACCAAAAAAACAGAAAGAAATTAGCTGGACAACTAAAAATATATAGAAATAATTAGCTGGGCATGGTGGCGCATGGCTGTAGTCCCAGCTACTCGGGAGGCTGAGGCAGGAGGATCGCTTGAGCCCAGGACCTTTGAGGTTGCTGTGAGCTAAGTTTGATGCCACGGCACTCTAGCCGGGGCAACAGAGTGACTGTCTCAAAAAAAAAAAAAAAAAAAAATATATATATATATATATGCTTTCTTAAACAAATTTAATCTTTACAATAGCCCTATAGGTTAAATATCAATTTTATAGATGAAGAAACAGAATAAGTGAAAGAGTTCATACTCAATTTGAAACTCTTGATTCCAAAATCTACACTTTCTGTACACACTAAATTAGTTGTCTAAGGCCACATAATTCGAAAAGGGAGAAGGCAGGATTCATAGCCCTTCCTTCTGACCACTAGGCTGCATGGACACATCGATCAATTATATATCTGCTCTTAATTAATGCTCTCTGTGGGTTTGACCAATCTGCCAATTTGCAAATAGTCATCCCCGTAGTAAGGACCTCAGTTGATTTTTTTTTTTTTTTGACTTAAGCAATAGACATTTCTTACAGTTGTGAAACCCAGGAAGTCTAAGATCAAGGTGCTGGCCACTTTGGTTTCTGGTGAGAGCTCTCTCCCTGGCTTGCAGAAGGCAGTCTCCTGGCTGTGTTCTCACATGTTGGGGTTGGAGTGGGGGAAAACAGAGAGAAAGTAAGCTTTCTGGTCTCTTCTTACCAGGCAGTAATCTGATTTTTAAAATAATAATATTTCTCATTTTAGAATAATAGAGATTGAGTAATGTGAATTTCTTGGACACTTTTTTTTTTTTTTGGAGACAGGGTCTCACTCTGTCACCCAAGGTAGAGTACAGTGGCATCATCATAGCTCACTGCAAACTCAAACTCCTGGGCTCAAGCAATTCTGCAGCCTCAGCCTCCTGAGTAGCTGAGACTACAGGCTCATACCACCGCACCTGGCTTATTTTTCTATATTTATTAGAGACGAGGTCCCACTCTTGCTCAGGCTGGTCTTGAACTGAACCCCTGAGTTCAAACAATCCTCCTGTCTCAGCCTCCCAGAGTGCTAGAATTACAGGTGTGAGCCACCACTCCTGGCCATTTTGGAGACTTTTTAAGATCCAAAGACATTCACTAAATTGGCATTACAACTAAAGAAGCCTGAAAAGGGGTCAGAATTGGGTTTTGATCTGGACTCTGTTCCTTAGGTTCTTTAAGATATTGGGAAAATCACTCAAACTCTCTGGGCTTCTGCACCACTTAGGGTTCTTAAATTTGATGCCAGTAATAGAAACTCACTATGGCTAACTTGAGCCAAAGGGGATTTATTGGAAGGATAATTGCTAGACTCATAAATGTCTGAAAAGTTGAAAACGAGGTTTAGAAACTGGCAAGAACCAAGCAACTGGTTGACCTGAACTAAAAGGAAACTGGGATGCTATTAGGAAGGAATAAATGCAGGGCAGTCCAACAAACCCAATCCATCCACCAATGCCACCATCCACCCTAACAAGATAATCTATAAGAAGCCTTCTAACTCTGACATCCTTTGCTTCTGTGTTTGGAAAAGAGTGAGCAAGAGGGTTGCATATGCAAACAGGGTGGTCAGACATACAATACTTTGGCCGGATGTGTAGCTGAAGGCTATGTGCAACTGAGGAAGGCTGGGCCACCACAGCACGGAGGCTGACCAATTTGGCTTGCAGCAAACAGGAAGTAGAAGAGAACTTAAGCAAGCCAAGTGTTTGGGTAGACAGATTATGAGGAACAGGCACAAATGACATTTCCAACAAGCATTAGAAGCTTCCAAATGCTCCCAACAGTTACTGCCTTTACAAACACAGGGCAGACTTAACCACGTGAAAGAGACTGATAGATAGCACTTAGTGCTGACATGAGCTTCATATTATATTTGAAGGGAACACACCATTAAACCATGTATAGCCTCTGAAATCAAAAGTTACAAACCGGCAGCCTACAGGGCATGTAGAGAATTACCAGCTAGGGCATGTAGAGAATTACTTACTGTCTTCATCTGGTTTGTGCTGCTATTAACAGAATACCAGACACTGGGTAATTTATAGAGAATGCAAGTTTATTTTTCAAAAATCTAGAGGCTGGGAAGTCCAAGACTGAGGGGCCAATATCTGGTGAGGGCCTTTTTACTGCCTCATAAAATGCTGAAAGGAGCCACACAGGTGAGAGAGAGGGAAGGGGGCTGAACTCCTTTTTATCAAGAACCCATTCCTGCAATACTAGCATTAACCCATTCCTGAGGGCCGAGCCCTCTGTCCTACTCACCTTTCAAAGGTCTCAGCTTTCAATACTGTTCCATTGGGGATTATATTTCGAACACATGAACTTTGGGGGATACATTAAGACCATAGCAGTTACCAAAGAGAAAAATGCAGATTTCAGATTTCTTTTGGGGCAGGGGGAGGGAGGAAAGGCTCTGGCCAATACCAGCCCTGCATTCCCACATAGCAACTGTTGTCTACTACCTTCGGTTGCCCTGTGGGCTCTCCACATTGCCACACCCTTTCAATGGCCCCCTTTACTTACATTACCTGCCCAGACCTGGAAGCACTCACGTTTCTGACTCTTGATTTAACTACCTCCATGACAAGCACTCAAGGCCGGAGTGTGGGCTACTGCAGTCACCTCTGCTCTTGGGACTCTTTGGTAGGATCTCTTCACTCACTACTTGTAACCGCTGGAAACCACCATTTATTGTACTCCTACCACACCCTGTCTGTCTTTTCTGTCAGAACCAATTTTCAAACATATGTTTCCCCAAACGACTCTAATTACCTGACAGTGGAAGAAGCAGCAAAGAATCCTCCTCTAGCATCTTCATCTGAAATGTAGGGGAAAAACCAACAATGACGTATCTGAAAGAACTACTTCTGTTTGACTTCTTTGAAGACAACCACAGAAAAAAAGTCTTCCCTTAGGATTATTAGCCTGAATAGCTGTGGACACGCTGGACATTAATTGAAGCTGCTGCTGCCCCTCAATGAGTCTCCTCTGCACACATCTGATCCCGTCTGGATGCCAGCCCTCACACGCTTCCATCCCTGAACTCCAGCACACAATGTATGATACCATGTATGATTCATTGCGGACTCTGTTGGATCCATTCTCTACAAAGGGGCCACATTTTCTTGCCCAAAGCTCTTTGATAGCTTCAAGTTGCTTTTAGGATAAACTTTAGAATGCTTAGAGAAGTCTACAAATTCTTGCATTGTTTGATTCTTTGTTATCTCTAAGGCCTCACCTCCCAATGCATCTTCCCTGAGTCACTTCATTTTGACCACTTGAGTCTTCTCTTTGTGGAAGAAGCCAAGCACGTTCCCACCCCAGGTCCTTGACACTTGCTATCCCTCTCCTAGGGGGCTCCCCTTCCCCCTCGCCTTTCCCCCATATCCTACCATCATTTAGGCCCCAGCTTTTAAATGCCACCTGGTCAGAGAAGTCTTCCCTACCTTCCACCTTCCTCTCATTCTGCCATCTTCATCCTTATTTCTCAGAGTCCCCTGCTTTCTTCTTTCTATTGCTTTCAATACAATTTGTCTATTTCTTCTCTAATCTGTAAACTCTGTGAGATCAGAGACCTTATCTATTTTGCACCCCACTGAATATTTAGAGTCCCTTCCATAATAGAGTATGTGAACAGCACCTGTCTGTCAAATGAATGAATGAAAAATCTGCATTCCATCCCCTAGGCCACCTTACTAGCACACTACATGATCTTCTGGACTGAATTGGACAACCTTTTTTAAGAAAAATATTTTTTATTTTAGCCTGACATAGTTTCCACCATAAGCCTGGTGGAAAGTTATCAACCTTCTAGGTTCCTACAGTGGCAACTTGGAACTTATTATAAATGCAAATTTTCAGGCATTATTTCAGGCCAACTAATCAGAAAACTTTGGGGGTGTGGCTCAGCAATCTGAGTTTTAACCGCCTTCCAGGTGGTTCTGATACACCCGTTACTTTAGGCTTTGCAGTTTTTAACTTTAAAAAGAATTTTATTTGGCCCTTAATCCTTGCTATCACCCTGCTAGTAGAATCATAGTACTCCAGAGGGAAATCTTTGTCATCATCCAAAGCCTTGAATGGAGGCCTATTTGCGTGTATTACGTAGAATACATTCGTGGGAGGTTTGCCTTCCTTGAGGGCACCGGTGTCCCCGGGGTGGGGTAGGACTACAACCTGAAGTCCCGTAGCGACGCACCAGCGTAACTGAATCAAACCTCAGAACAAAGGCCGGTGTTCCAGGGCGCAAGCCTTTGTTCTCGCGTCCCCCAACAGCTCACCCTTCCCGATACTGCTCTTTTACATGCAGAAAAGCAGCCGCTCAAGCTGTAAGAAAGGCTGCAAGCCGCGGACCACGTTTTCAATTAGGTGGTTTTCCCCCGGGCACTAGAAAAGATATTTCTGGCTGCAGGAGGCGCTTCCACTCCTCAACCTAGCACAGAAGTATCTGAAACTAACCCAAACGCTTAAAGCGAAATGCCTCTTGCAGCTTCAGGGTAGCACTGGAAGCTCGGGCTGACTTCCCCGCCTCTACCCTTCTAGAAAACCCGAAGTGGATTCCCTGACGCCCGGGCCGGGGCCACGGCCGGCGGCCGCACCGCACCGCGCATGCTCTGTCGCCCCGCCCGCTCGGAGCCGGAAGGGGGAGCGCTCCGGGCCTGGGCTTGGCCTGGCCCGGGCGTCGGCTCCGGCGGCCATCTTGGCTTCCCGGGGAAAGGCGGCGTGAGGGGTAGAAGTTGTAGGGTGGGGGCAGGAGTGAGGAGGAGGGAAGAGAGAGGGGGAGGAGGCCGCGGCGGGGCAGGGCGGGGACTGCCTGCCTGCCTGGGTTGCGGAAGTGATAGCCGCTGACCGAGCCTGCTGCTTTCTGGCTACTGCTTCGGCTTCCCGGCTCCCCCGCGGACGTGAGGGCGGCCCGGCTGTGGATGATCAGATAGCCCCCATCTCCCGCCGCCAACCTCTGGCCCCTACCAGCACGGAGCAGACAGCGGCGGCAGCAGCAGCAGCAGGCGAGGAGGAAGATGGCGGGACGGCTGCCGGCCTGTGTGGTGGACTGTGGCACGGGGTAAGGGGGCTGACGGGCCGGGGTGGGGAAACTGAGGCGGAGAAAGGAAAATGGCGGGGGAGGGAGGAGGCCGGGAGATGAATGGTGCGGCGGGCTGCCGCCGCCGGCTGTCAGTCTTAGACCCGCCGGCTAGCGAGGGGTGGGGCCCGGCGGAACCGGGGCCTCCCTCGTGCACTCGCTTCACTCTCCCGGGGCCGGGGCCGGGGCGGGGGCGCGGGTCCGAGAGCTTCCTCTCCTTCCCCCCAGAGCAGCTCCCTCCGTGCGACCCCTCCCGGCCCTTCCCCCACTGCGGTGGGCAGCGCCGCCCAAAGAGAGGTGGGGACGGTCGCCTCCCCCAGGACCCGGTCGCCGTGGAGGTGGTCGCCGTGCCGGACCCGCCCGGCTTGCTCTTTCCTCCGCGCCCCATCCTGCCCGTGGGCTTGGGGACCGAGGGGATGAGCGCGGGGACTGGCCTGGCACAGAAGCGAGAAAAGAGAAGTGCTCCTTGTAGGTTTTGCAAGATTGCTGTGACCACACTGCCCAGGGTGTGGGTGGGGAGAGGCAAGGATAGGACTCTGAAAATGGGAACCCAGACTGGGGCTTTCATTTGACCACCCACCTTCTCTTTTCGACTCCCGGTCATTTCCATCTCCCTCTTCGTTTTTTTACCAGTGAACCCAGTCACATTTTAATTCGAGAGAGAAAGATGTCATGTGTTACTTCTCAAGCCTCAAAAAAGTCCCTCAGTGAGCAAGCGCGCTGCAACTTCCTTAGTTTTGTCAAACCCGCTTCCTGCTTTCAATCTTTTATACCCTTATAAGGTAGTTTTTAGTTTTCAACCTGAACACATCTTATTAGAACTTTGAAAATTAAACTGGTTTTAAAGAGACTGAATTACCGGTGCTAAGTATCAATTTATGTGAACTTAAACTGTAGTCGTGTTGCACGGGGAGAGGAGAAGTGAAGCACCCTGGAAAATCAACTAATTTAAGTTGTATATGTTCATTCTGTGACGGTATCTTGAAGCAGGAAGGAAGGTACAGAGGTATAAAGGAATGTGCTTAATTTGCAAGTAATTTCTGACAAATCTGTAGTGTAGTTTACTAAACTATAGGATGGCTTTAAAGTAGTTGTTCCTTTTGTATTAATAGACACATTTTAGAGAGTTACACCACATTCTGTACTTACATAGATAATAGATTGCCCATATTTTAATGTTGAATGAGTGCTTATTTTGAAATGTTGGAAGTTTATCTTTTTTTTTTTGGCCTGTGCTGATTACATCTCTTTAATCCTTAAAACACTCCCAATTTTTTTGAGGGGGATAGTGGTGAGGGGTGGATTGCCAGTCTTTTATTTTCTTTTATTATTCACCATACGATTGTTAAAGATTGTTATGTCCTTCAGTATTTAATTGCTGTATGTAAAATTTCTTCAGTTTTCATTAGCGTTACTATAGCCAGTGTCACAGTTTCTAAAATCCCAGTCAGGCAGAAGGAAACAACCAACTTCTCAATATTTTCTCTAGGAAAACACTAGCCTAGCCTTTAACATCTGTGTATTTTTTTGATGGATGCCTTTTTAGTTTCTTCTCAATCCAGTCTCATTTCCCTGAGCCAGTACATTTTTTTCTTCTTTTTCTCTTCTTAGTCTAATTAGTGTGTAGTTTTATGTTTAGGGCCAGTTTAAAATTAGATGTAGCCTGAATGAGTAGGACTCTTCAAGTTTGTTGTTAACGTGACAAATTAATACATAATTAATACTTAATGCTTTAGAAATTATTGAGCTGTCAATAAAAATAGTGTTAATAATTGTGGCCCTAATAAATAACATCTTAAGTGGGATGTTACTTTTTTTTGTGTGTGTACATTTTTCCCCTTTTGAAACAGCTTTGGTTATTTTTGAGTTAGTATACTAAATAGCTCATTGAAGTTAACTGTCCTTAAGTGACCTCTTTTCTGAAAGGGCAATCTCAAATTTAAAACATGGCTGAGTGACAAGTAGAAGTGGGGAGAGGGGTTCAATCTGTATGTAGGATATTTTTGTTTTAATATTTCAATTATTATAATATTACATTTTCATGTTATTACATTGGTCTAGCCACACAAGGAGAAATTGTTAACTGAACATTAATTATGATGTGAATGGAACTAGGAGTCCCCTTGCCACCTCACTATGTTTTAGCATCTGTCAGAATCTGAAATTCCCCTTTTAGAGTTTCATTTATTTTGGTCTTTTTGGTCTTTCCAGTTGCCTGTTAAACGCTAAAGTTACACCTTTAGTTTTATTAGTGCATGGAGGATAAATCCTTGTGATTGGGCCCTGGAGATAAGCATCTCTAAGCATGGCCTTAACAGGGAGTTTTATATACTGTGATTCCCAAATGCAAATTGGGCACCTATAATTTGTGTATTTCTTAATGCTTTAGAGAGTGCATGCACCTCTTAGGTCCCTAAGTTACAGTTACCCACTTAGTTTATTTTTATTTTTATTTTTTTTATTTTTTTGAGACAGAGTCTCGCTTTGTTGCCCAGGCTAGAGTGAGTGCCATGGCATCAGCCTAGCTCACAGCAACCTCAAACTCCTGGGCTCAAGCAATCCTGCTGTCTCAGCCTCCCGAGTAGCTGGGACTACAGGCATGCACCACCATGCCCAGCTTATTTTTTCTATATATATTAGTTGGCCAATTAATTTCTTTCTATTTATAGTAGAGAGGGGGGGTCTCCTTTTGCTCAGGCTGGTTTTGAACTCCTGACCCACCTTGGCCTCCTGGAGTGCTGGGATTACAGGTGTGAGCCACTGTGCCTGGCACCCACTTAGTTTAAGTGGAAAAAAAAATTTTTTTTAACAGGATTAGAGAATTGAAATTACTTTTTTGGTGACATCTCGTTAGCAGATGATTCAGCCTGCTGTTTGAACCTAAGTTCTTCTGTATGTAAACCCTGTGTTCTTTCTGTTACACTATGGGGACTCTTGACCTCCTTTTCAGAACTACACATGTTGCTTTATTTTTGTTAGTAAAGTTAACTCTATTTATTTCTGGTTTAAAGTAATCTTAAAAAAAATCCTAGCCTTATGAATTTGATTCAATTAATTAGAGAAACCTTTCTGTGTAATCTTTGACTTGATTCAGATTTTTTTTCTGGCTATATGAATTCCTAGAGTACTTCCTTGTTACTTTGCTTAAGTTTAATCTCTAAAAAAAATTTACTCTAGTTTATGTTTCTTAGGAGATAATAATAGCTAGCATTTATCAAGAATTTCGTCTCAGGCCCTGTGCTAAATGCTTTATATTATCTCATTAACTTTTCTCATCAACCTAATAAGTATTCATTTTATAGACAAGAAAATTTAAGCTTGGAGAGGTTAGGCTGCTTGCCCTAGGTGTTATAGCACATAAGTGTGGCAGAGCCACTATACTATATCCTCCTTATGTAGAGGTTAAACTTTTGACATTTGAATCATTGAGATATTTTTGATTTTGGATGGGAAATTAATTTATGATACAGTGAAGGCACAAAGTAATGTTAGTAACTTATGGATGTCCTGCACTGGTAGAGAAAGTGGTATTGTCAAATTGAGGCTTCTAATATAATTAGCATTATAATGAAAATGTGTAGTACAATCTATTCTCAAGAATCTTAATCAGAAAAGAGCTAAAATCATTAAAAAATTAGAGGTAGGTAGAAAACTGCATTTAATCAAATGTTAGGATATTTACTTTTCAGACAGTTGATGAGAAGGAAAGAAAGATTACTGTGGTCAGGAAGTTTTAAGAATTTGAGGTATCCTTTTAAGGATTTGAATAGATACACAGGAGAGCATTTTACTAAGGGCAAGGAAAAGCATGTACAGCTGAAAGAGAAGAGTAGTTGCTTTTGTTTTTAGTCCTCTTAGCATGATATTTTGCACTGTTCCTCTCCTTTATGAATTGACTATATAATATCATATGGGTCTAGATTTTGTAATGTGAAAGGAAACTCATATTTATTGAGCACCTCCTGTGTATCAGGTGTTCATTATATGACAATAAAGCTTTGATTGGAAACAAATTTTACTTGATAGAGAATAAACATTCCTCTAGTAGAGGAGTGAAATGTTGAAAATAGGGCCTTTAGAATATTTGCAGAATGGAATGCAGGAAGATCAGATATATCTGGAATGAAATTATGGGGCTTGGGTGAATAGTAGGGACTCAAATCTTTGTTGAATCAATGGACAGGAATTAGGAGGATGGTTTTAAGAAACTACATGAGAAACACCCCATACCTAGTCAATTAGAATCTCAAGGGTTGGGCCTAGGACTATTCATTTAAGTGGACTTTCTAGATGATTCTTAAGCAGCTCCCTCAGCACCAGCTTTGCAGAAGTTCTGAAACCAGGTATTGGCAGTGGGGATGGAGCAGAAGAGATAAGTTTGGAAAAGATTGCTCCTTTGTTTTGTTTGCACCTTTCTTCTGGCAGTTATATTGTTTTGTATTGTTTATTTATGGATAACGAGGGCTTTTTAGTCAGCTGTTTTTGAGCTCATGGTCTATCACTTACTAGTTGTGTGCCTTTATACATTTCAAACTCTTCAGGTCTTATTTTTCTCATCTGTAATTTGGAGATCATAGTGTTTACCTTATGGGTTTTTTTCCCCTCCTCTTGAGATAATGCATGAAAAGCACAGTGCCTGGCACATAGTAAGAGCACAATACATTGTAATTATTATAATAATGAGTTAGCTCCCTCTTTTTTGAATTGAAGTCCTTAAGGAAAGGAACACAGTGTCTTACGCGTATTTTCTTATCTCCTGCAGGCCTTGGCCTGCCTACCACAGTTCTTTGCACAGTCAAAATATTTTTGCTGATTTGAGAGATTGTGAAGGAGGTGTAGCTAGGACTTGGCAGCTGATTTTAGTGGATTGTAAATAGGCATCAGTGAATATTTCAAGATTGTATGCTTGAGTGATTGGGACAATAAGGGGGTTGGTTTTAAGAAACTGAGTAAAATTCGAATTTGTTGTTATATTTGGAATGATGATCTGTAATTGGAAATGTCCTAGAGGAAATTAAAAATACAGGAACTTTAGGAATGAAAGTGGAGACTTGGAAATCATCATTATAATTTATAAATTGATCCTATAATAAATGAGAACTTTGAAAGAGAAAAGAACAAGAAGGTTGAATGTTAATATTCCATCTTTTGAAAATTAAGGATGTGTGATCCAACTTTTTGATCATCACAATAAGAAAAATGAGCACACGTGGCTTACTATACTGATCAGCTATGATTTGGCCTTCTGGATGCTTGAGGATCCTTTTGACTGAATCCAAACTTTACAGTTAGTAAAGGGATTTATTCTGTGAAGTTTGGATTCTGTCTAGGGGCACACTTGGGGATCTGGAGGGCCACCTGTGGCCTTGAGGCCAGGGTTCCCCAACCTTAGGCAAAGATAGGCTACATTTCCTTTGTCCAGCATGCTCCCCCTCCTCCAACTTGTAGAAATACTAAATGCTTGGGCTAGAGTCAGAAGTGTGGAATGGTTAAAATGTAGCTTTGAGCAACATGTTTCCCGAAGCAAAATTCCAACATAATGAAAACGTTTGAATGCTCTCCTATAATTCTACTGGAACTTGTAGCCTTTTTTATGATACTACCTATCTGTGATGGGTACTAACATAAAGAAGCAAGAGCAAAGCAATTAAGTAATAATAGCACTACAAAAATATGTGCTATAGCTTACTGAGCACTTAAAACATTCATGAATTTTTAGATGACAGTGTGAGTTAAGGTGAAGTTATTGGATTAATGTTTTAAATTTGGTTCTTTAAAATAGGATAGTGATTAATATTACTTTGGGTGCTGGTTGTTTTATAACTTTATATGGCCCCTTATATCATAAAACACATAACTTGACTAATACTAGAGCAAAAAGACAAATAGTATCCTAGTTTTTCTAAAGGACCATTTTGTAGGATTTTAATAATTTCGTTTCAAAATCTTGAAAATCCTTTCCAAACTCATTTATACTCATGTCATTCTTACATACTTTTTGAAACCAGGAAAGGAATAGCTTGAATTGTGTAGCCAGATATATTCTTTTACCCTTCTACTCTTCCCCGCCCCTAATACATAGCTCAGAAGAATATTCATCTCTTCTGACGCTCAGCATTCCATCTTTAAACATTCTCTCCTTGCTTTAAGTTGTCTTGCACGTTGTGAAAATGCAGTACTCTTGAGAACAGTGTCTTTATGCCTTTTTCAGTATTTGTGTGA